GCCATGGCTTCACAGCTCACAGCAACCTCCAACTCCTGGGCTCAAGCGAGTCTCCTGCCTCTGCCTCCCAAGTAGCTGGGACCACAGGCACCTGCCACAACGCCCGGCTATTTTTTGGTTGCAGCCGTCATTGTTGTTTGGCAGGGGCTGCATCTGAACCCGCCACCTTAGGTGTATGTGGCTGGCACCTTAGCCACTTAAGCCACAGGCACCGAGCCAAATCCAATTTTTTAATATTAATATTGAAAATTCTGCTTGGTCTGGTAGAGCCATACTCTGTCTATTATTTTAGGTATACATCTTGACGAAGTAACATTCACCTATGTAACCACTTAACCACTCAGCAATATTTTGCCCAGCATAACCCTCTTCTCAAGTATGTGCTGTGCACAGTGACCTCCTCCCAAAGAGTACAGTATGAAAGAGAAAATAAAAGAGTAAATTTACAGTGGAGAAACTTGATAAACACTTCCTCAGGCAGGACATCAAGGCCAGCAAAACAGTCCTGATGCTGATAGTATATACCCTTGATAAATATGAAGAAAATGGTACCCTCCCTCTGTAGTCTTTCTCTCCCAAATTAACCTGGTCTAATCATGAGAAGAATATCAGTCAAATCCTAGTGAAGGAACATTTTATACTGTATCTGACTCCCCAAAATAGTTAAGGTGATTTAAAAGAAAGAAAGCCTGAGAAATTTTCTCAGCCAAGAGTAGCCTAAGGAGAAATGGTGACTACATGTAATATGCTATCCTGGATCCTAGAATAGAAAAATACAAACTTAAAGACATATGAATAAAGTATAGGCTTTAGCTAATAATGATGTATCAATATTTGTTCATTAATTATTTTTTTTTTGAGACAGAATCTCATTCAGTCACCCTGGGGTTCAGTGCTGTGGCATCATAGTTTACAGCAATCTCAAACTCTGGGGCTCAAGTGATTCTCTTGCTTCAGCCTCCCAAGTAGCTGGGACTACAGGTGATTGTCACAATGCCCAGTTATTTTTAGAGATGGGGTCTCACTCTTGCTCAGGTTGGTCTCCAACTCCTGAGCTCAGTCAATCCACCCACCTCGGCCTCCCAGAGTGCTAGAATTACAAGTATGACCCACCATACCTGGCCTGTTCATTATTTTAAATGTATGGTATAATGTAAGATGTTTTAAATAGGGAAACTGCAGGATCTGAGGATTCTCCGTATAATATTATTCTGTAAATCCAAACTATTCTAAAATAAAAAGCATACATATGGTATGTATATATACATTTATGAATATGCATTTTTTTTTGAGACACAGCCTCACTGTTGCCGAGGCTTGAGTACTGTTGTGTTGGCCTAGCTCTCAGCAACCTCAAACTCCTGGGTTCAAGCAATCCCCCTGTCTCTGCCTTCCAAGTAGCCAGGTCTACAGGAGCCCAACACAATGCCTGGCTAATGTTCTCTATTTTCAGTATTGACAGGGTCTTGCTCTTGCTCAGGCAGGTCTTAAACTCCTATACTCAAGGGATCTGCCCGCCTCAGCCTCCAAAAGTGTTAGGATTACAGGTATGAGCCACCACCCAATGTAAAAAGTGTATTTTAAAAGAGGGAGAAAATTGAGTATTCAGATATTTTCTAAATAGCAGCTTCTATGTATCTACACAGCCACATTAATCACAACTGGAGTAATGAGGATTACCTGCTACCATTTACATCTATATTAGATCCATCACATAGCACAGGAACACACATAGAGCCTAGACTGAACTAGAACTCAGTTTCTGAACTACTCAACGATCTTGGTCACCAAACTCCAATCACAGTATTTACTATATCGTCTTGAAAGTAAATGAAGTTTTATTAATTTTTTTCCCATTGAAGGAGTGGTAAAATTACAACTCTTATCTCCCCTGGAAGTTCTCAAGTTTATTCCAAAAAAGAAGGCCAAAACATTTTGAAGTAGATAAAGACAAGTTCAGGCTTACCTGAACTTGGCAGCCTTAAGTTCCTTTTTCTCTGCCAGCCTAGGTTTTCTCATCAGAAAATGCAAACAAGTGGTTTTCTTTGGGTGGGGGGCAGGAGCCAGGTTTGAACCCACCACCCCCGATATATGGGACTGGCGGCCTACTCCTTGAGCGACAGGCACCGCCTGCAAACAAGTGTTTTATTTATAATTCAGGAAATCTGACCAATGGTCAACTCTGCTAAAATTCACTTTCAATGTATAATGATATTTTATTAGTTGACAGCCTCTCAAACTTACCCAGTAATTACGTCTATAATAGAAAATAATGGATGTCTACTTTGGGGGTACAGTGACTGGAAAAAGCAGTTACCTTTCTAAAAAAAAATCTTAAAAAGGTGTGCTGATTTTGCATTCTTCTCCATAACTCATATATTTGATACCCTAGAAAAATCATGTCTAAATTACTTCCCAGATGAACTGATCACGTGTGCAGATTATTAAATTAATACTTAAGGAAGAAATAACTTCCTCATATTTTCACTGTCAAACACGATCACACACGTTGATTTGCTCAGGGAACCCCTATAAACACTCAGAAACACAAGCAGAAGAAAAGCACATTTATAACAAATCATCACCAGTTAAGTTATTCAACTATGCACACAAAACCCGGAAAAACATACAGATGCCTTTCCCAAACTCACTCTCTCTCTCCTTCTCTCCACCCTCCCTTCCTCTCTCGCTGGCTCTCAATCTCACACACACACACCTCTGCAAAGACACACAGACGGTCCCACGCAAATCCCAGGTTTCAGCTGATTCCCAGACCAGCTCCGGCTCCTCCTCTGCACCTGCTCGGCGCGCGGGTCCTATACCCTAGTTCCTGGGGAGACACCGGGTGCGCTCGGCTCTTGCTCTCTCAGACCCCAACCCCCCGAACTAAGCGCCCGACGCCTGCGCACGGAGCGCCGCGGCTCGCGCTCAGAAATCTCCGGGACGCCGCGGTGGGAACAAGCGCGTCCCAGACGACAAGCCCACAAACCCGGAAGAAAATGAAAACTCCAGGCTCCCGGCCTTCGCACCTGTTAGCCACGGCTTTCCGAGACTGGACTACATTTCCCAGAAGCAGCGCTAACGGAACGGCTCGATTTCCGTTTCTTTACGCCATTTGGGGGCCTGGAGTCGGAAGAGGCGGCTTTGGTAGAGGAGTTTGGTGGTGCCGCTGCTGGGCTGCGGAGCTTGGCGCTGCACATAGAACTGGAGCTCCAGGCCTTGGACCCTGACCTGTACCTCTGTTGAGGTGAGTGTCCGGAGTGCCAGGGCGGACATATACGGAGGAAGCGGCCCTGGAATTCCGTGTGCGGCTCTATCTCCCGCTTTGTGTGTGCGGTACAGCAGGCCTGGTATCGGAGACTGTATGGACGACTGGACGTGTACGACTGAGCGTTTGTGTGAGTGCGAGTTGTTTGTAACTGTGTGCTTACCTGATTGGGCATACACTTACATGACTGAGTGATTGTGTATGTACCGCGTGCATAATTGGGGTTCGTTGGTGACTGTGAAGTGTTTGTTGTGACGGGGTGTTTGGATGTGCTTGTGTCACTTTGAGGTTGCATATCTGCCTGGTAAAATGTGACTGGTGTTTGCCTGTGACTTTGAGATCCAGGATACTGTTGTGACACTGTGTTTGTGACCTTTTGTTTCCCTGACCTGGTATTTGGTTGTGTGACTATTCTTGTGTGTGCCACGTGTGTGACTGTACGGTTGTGTGCACCGTTTTCATGACTGTAAAGAGGATAGAAGTGCTGCTGTGGAAAGGAGTTTTTTTGATATGATCGCATGCCTTGTGGTTGGATTTTAAGACTAACCATGTACCATAACTTACAGAATGTGACTCTGGCTGTGGGACTGATTCCCGATCAAAATGTGATTGTGTGTGACATTGTGTGCTCATTTGTAGGCTTTATACGCTGTGACCTGATGGGAGTTAGTGGGGCATGGAAGTAAAATTTGATTTTGATATTTCTTGGGTTCATTCTGGGGCTGAGTCTGCCAGTGGGTCATGAGTCCTATGTGGCTTTGGGGCTTCTTGGAGGATTTAAGGACTTGACTTCTGTTTTGACCACAGTGGTTAACCATTGGTACAGACCTATGTTGCTTCAATTCTGCATCCATCCCCTTTGGGAATGGTAGTTGTAAGTTCACTGCTCCCTCCTGATGTCCTCTCACCTGCCTCTGGTATTCTTAAGGGGACTGGGTCCAGGGAACTGGCAGGCAGGCAGGAAGTCAGAAATTGGAGCCCCTGAGTGAAGAATAGTAGTTATGTCCAAGCCAGAGACCTGGTCTTGAGATGAGAATTTTAGGGCTGATGGTACATTCGAGACAAGACACTGGAAATGGAATGGGATTTCAGGAATGGGAGTACATTACAAAGGAGGTGCTTCAGGAGCCAGCCACACAGTTCAGAACTTGTACCACTGGAATGCATGGCTGTGTCTCCAATGGACAGCTTTGAATCAAGAAATAAATTCTGGCCTCAAATAGCTGTGATCTTGGCCTTTTTTCTGATACAAAGGTGCAGGACTGTTGTAGTTTCCTTCTGACTGTTTTTTTTTTTTTTTGAGACAGAGCCTCAAGCTGTCCCCCTGGGTAGAGTGCTGTGGCATCACAGCTCACAGCAACCTCCAACTCCTGGGCTCAATCAAGTCTCCTTCCTCAGCCTCCCAAGTAGCTGGGACCACAGATGCTCGCCACTACGCCGTGCTATTTTTTGGTTGCAGCTGTCATTGTTGTTTGGCGGGCCCAGGCTGGATTCAAACCTGCCAGCTCAGGTCTGTGTGGCTGGCGCCTTAGCCCCTTGAGCCACAGGTGCCGAGCCCCTTCTGACTTTTTTAATATTAAATTCAGAGTAGGTTAAAGGAGTACAGAAGAGGATATACGTTGTATCTTAAGACTGTTCCTCAGGAAAGGCCTAGTATCTCATTCCATTTTCTTTTTCTGAGAGTAGATCCTAGAGAAGAAAAGAATGGCTGTTGTTATACATCAGTAGCAAAATTTGAGGTGTGTGTTTCCTAAAATGCCTTTGCCTTTTCAGATGTAGGAATTTTTGTTTTCTTTTTGAAATTTCCCACCTGAGCCTTCACTATTGATGGAAGGGCAAGGCAATATTTTGCAGATTGGGATCATGGAAAAGAACTGTGATGGATGATCCCAGTAGGAAAAATGGATTTGAGAGTCATGGATTTTAAACGAATAGCTCTATTATGTTACTTCTGACACAGCAGCATTCTGATTTGTTTAATTTTTTTAGCTATGTATTACAATTTTTAAATGTATATAAAAATGTAACAAACTATCACACGCCCATCTCAAAAGTTGTTACTTTCCAATCTTGTTCCATTTATTCTGCCTTCAGTTCAAGATTCTTTCTAATTTGCCTTTTGGTTTCTTCTTTGACTTACTGGATAGACTTGAAGATCTTCCAAAGATCTGTTTTCACTGATTTCGAATTTCATTCCATTGTGTTTCTAGAATACAGTCTGTATGACTGGAATCCTTTTAAATTTATTAAGATTTGTTTTCTGACCCAGAATTGGATGCATCTCAGTAAATTTTCCATATGCACTTTCAAGAGTGTATTCTGCTGTAGTCGAGTGGAGTGTTCTATAAATGTCAGGTAGGTTGATAGTGTTGTTTAAATCTTCTATGCCTTTACTGGTTTTCTGTTTGTTGGATTTCTCCCTTTCTCCTTGTAGTTTCCATCACATTCTGCTTGGTGTATTTTGAAGCTCTGTTATTGGGCACATAAGTGTTTTGGATTATATGTCATACTGATAAACTGACTGCTTTATCATCTTCTTTATCCTTGGTAGTAGTCATTGCTCTCAACATGTACTTTCCCTGATACTTCATGTAGTCACTCCAGCTTTCTTTTGATTAGTGTTAGCATTATGTATCTTTTAAACATCCTTTTTCTTTTAACCTATCGTATTTTGGTATTTTAAGTGCATTTCTTGTAGGCAGCATATAATTAGGGCTTGTGTTTTTATCCCATTTGGTAGTTTCTATCTTTTAATTGGAAAATTTAGTCCATTTTTATGTAGTAGGATTATTGATAAAGTTTGGTTCAAATGCATCATTTTGCCATTTGTTTTATATATGTCCCATCTGTTCCTTATTTCCTTTCTTTCTTTTCTTCCTTTTAGAATTGATGGAATTTCAAAATAACAACATCAGTCATATATATACAGAAAAACAATCAAGACCTTTTGGAGTTTAACAGGATGTAGCCCAGTATTATTTGGTCTATAATCAAATTGTTGGGTCTTAAATACAGTATAATAACACCTTTCAAATGGTTAAGCTAGTGAAGAGGTTAATGTAACTCTATTTGAGAATGAAGAGTAATGCAGTTAATTTAACTGCATCTTGGAACTAACTCCTCACTCTCCTCCTGGGCAAAGTCGCGCAGGAGGAATCAGTCCATTAGAAGGAGTCTGGCTCCCTCCTCCGCACTTCCTGGCAGCCAGTCTGAAGGGGACCGGCTTTCCCCACCCTTGGCACTTCGGGCAAGGTCAATCAGCCCAGACCGAGCCAGTCTATCAGAAGTGGACAGGCAACCCTCCTCTGGAAAGTCCCTAACCGTAAACCCACCCTGTAGCACCTCTGGCGTATCAGGTGGTGCCAAGCATCCCTGGACAACAGCTCAGCCAATGGCAACCCCTCCCAACAAGAGGCCCAATGAAATTCCTCTATACGCTTTAAAAACCTCCCCTCGCTTCATTTCAGGTCGCCCTTCCCCCATCTAAACTGTAGGGTGGAGTGACCCAGGCATATGCTTGCAAATAAAGCCCTTCATTGTCTTTGCATGTGTGTGGTGGTCTCTCAGGGGAGATTCTGGTCCCAATATTTGGTGAGTTGGCTGGGAATCACGCCTCTGAAACCCTACTTCACACGGAGTGCTTAACACCGGTGAGTGAGTTATGTGTGTGTCAGTTGTGTTGTCAGTGTCTTAACTTGTGGAGCTTAGTGATTTGGATAGCCAGAAGCCCTAGGCAGAACGGCCGGTAGAGGGCCTGGCTGTGAACTGAGAGACGTCTTTTGTACACTTGGTTAGTCTGCTCTGGAGGTTAGACTTTGGGGCAGTCTTTTGTTCATTTGGTTATGGTTAATCGGCTCAGGGGGTTAGAGTCCCCCTAGGCAGCTGAGTTAATACCGCCTGGGAGGGCAGCTGCATGTTTGGAGTGTTTGGAATGGATGTCTGTTAGTTTATATTTAAAGTGTAAATTCAATCATTCCTGTAGTTCTGTAGGGGCTGGACTAGCATCTCCCCTTGATTCAAACCCCCTGGACACCCACGTGGGGGTCCCTGATCAGTGTGGTTGACCTAAACCACTGAGCTCGCCAGGGAGGCAGTTTGGTCTCCTTGTGTGGACACCTCAACTGGGCTAAAAGAGGACCCCATCGGCAGGTATTCAAGGAGTCAAACACTGGGAGGAACTGACATGCAGGAATAGGTACCTACACAGGGAGATGTCTAAGACAAGGTATGATCAATCTGAAGAGCCCACTACAATTTTAGTGGAAGAGGAGCCTGATCACCTCTTTGGGCATTAGATCACCGGCAGGTGTGTTGAGAAGTGTGTGAGAGTGTGAATGTGGTGTGACTGACAAGAACTCCGAGAGTGGAATTGAAACTCCTGTTAGAGGACCTGGAAGTGTGTTAGTTTGCCTCCTATAGCTAAGTGACAGCTCGGGTGGGAAACCGAGGCTGCCCAAGTTTAAAAAAAAAATGGGTTGAAATTGTGTACATGTGAGTGCTTGGCGAAAAACTGAGATGGGTAACAATAGGTGGGGTTTTGCCTCCCCTATTCATGGGGTGAAACGAATGTGTGAGTGTGCCCTTCTTCCCTGTTCCAACTTTACCCCCTGGCTATTCTAAGAAAAACTGAAAGTTCCAGGTTTTCCACTCTCTGTCTTTGGTTGCAGCCACATGGCCATGTGGGTCTTGACATTAGAAAAGATTTTTATAGTTTTGTTACTGGAATTTCTTCAGTGAGTTTTTGGTCTCAGGAATTTAAAAATTGAACCCACGGGCCACAGATCAGTGATAAAATGGGATTTTGAACTGAGGGGCATGCAGAGGGAGTAAAAAGTGCCAGAGCTATTGGCGGAGAGGCCGTGCCTTAAAAAGTGTTGTGGTCCAGGCAGTCTAGTGAGCTCTGAATGGCCCTTAAGAATCTGGGAGAAAGAATGTAAATCTCGTGCTTTGTAGGACTGTATCAATATCAGCAACAGGTCTCCAAGGCAGACAGCCTCTGACAAAAGGGAAGAGGCCCAGGTCAAAAGTTTTCTGCATGAGTCCTTTGTCTAGAGATAAATAATTAACCCTGAGAAATATTTTGGCCAGGACTTGGTAGATAAAAAATACCTTTGCAAACTAAATAAGTGTTCTAACAAATAAATGAATGCAACTCCACATTAGACAAGGTCATTAAGTCTTTGCTGCGGTTTTTATCTAGAGAGAAGATTAGGATGTGTGCTCCTTAGTCTGGGTGGAGCCAGCCAAAAAGTTTCAGGCTGCTTTATTCATGACCTTGCTAGGGCTCAGAAAATTTGTACCTGAAAATGGGAGTCTGATATCTGAGCTCACCTAAACCTGAAAAATAGAGGTTCCCTGTCCAGCCCTGAGTAGAAAAATCCTATATCAATGTTACACCTCATAAAATCTCTCTCATTTGTAAAATGTAATAATTTAATTGTTTAAATTGTTGGGGAAACCGAGTCTTTGTCAAAAGATAAGATTCTTGCTTTTTAAACCTTCTAATCATCAGTTTGGCCAAGTAAATGGGTAATTTCATAATAAACTAAGATTCTGTTTTGTGAAAAATGAGTTTTTAAAAGTAAGAGAAGTTAGACAGAAAGGAAAATGGCATGGTGTAAAGAAAAAATCTTGTGTAATAAATTTTGTCCTGAAAAAGAATAGTTGTGTAAAGAAAGTGAAAGACAGGACAAAAGTTTAAGAAAGTTTAGAATGTTTGTAGATTGTCTGTGCAGGTTAGATAAAGCTCATAAAAATTTTTTTTTTGTGAAAGAATTTACATGTAATCCAGTTGATTATGTATTTCCTTTAAAATCTTTTGAAATGTAATCTTATTTAAACCAATGTTTTAAACCTTTAATATTTGACAAACCTTCCAAAATCAAAACTCTAAATTTGGGGCTTGGCACCCACTCAGCCCAGAAAATGAAAAACACAACTCTAAATTTGGTCTTTTTAAAATATTAAAACCGCTGAAAAACACAGAAAAACAAATTAAACTTATTTAATTTATTAAAAATGTATAGGAAACATTGTCAAATATAAAATGGTAATTAATTTTGTATGAGTTATAGTTATAATATGTTCCAATATTATAAAACATTAATCTGTCCTAACACATATTGTCAATAATAATTTTAATTCATCTAAAAAATATTTTTTATGTAACTGGCTGAGTCCAAAGTTTATCCTAAAGAGAGACTGAATTCTCTCGAATTCAAATTCCTATTGTCTTTAAAAATTGAGTACCTTTGGGCTAAAAGCAGATTTGTAGAACTTTCATTAAAAAGTTAACATGTCTATAGATATTGCTAACCTAACCTCAAACAGAACAAAAATCAGTTATATGGAACTAGGCTAGTTTGTCATAGCTTTTTGTTCAAAGTATTATTAGTTCTTTCTGTGTCCTGTTTTCCAGAAATCAAAAAAATAATTCTCTGTCTTTTGAGCTATTTATAACTTTTCAGACAATGTATGTACTTATGAGCAGAGTTTAAAACATGTATTTTTCTCTCTCCTTGATTTCTCTGAAATTTAAAAGCCATTTATAAGTAGTCTTAATTTCTGACAATACAATTATTTGCTTAAGTTCAATAAGAATCTGTTTTGTTCTATAGGACATAATGAAGGCACTGGTTATTTTACCAAGGCTTTGACTGGAATAACATTTCCAAAAGTGTCCAGACTGCGTCAAGGAATTAAAGTTGACTTTATAAAGCCAATAAAAAGCCCTTTGAAAAACTGGCCAGATACCCATCAGTACCTTTCCTGATCTGTGGTAAGTAACGAAGGTCCCTTACTGATGGGTCTGAAAATTGAAATGTGCTTAGGGACCTCAAAAAAAAAGAACTTACCAATGCATACAGGTATCTAATGGCACAGATAAAACCTCAGCTCATAAAAGGCTCTTGAGAAAGTCTGGCCTAAAAATTCCTTATAAAGTTTCCAGCAGAGCCAAAGAGTCTAGATGACTAATAATTATTCTTACTGTGTGTTATGCAAATAATCAGTATACTGAAGATACAGTTTATTTTGGCAACTGAGTTGATTCTGCTGTAATTTGTCTATAGTAAGAAGAGAAATTAGAGAAAGAAAAAAAAATTAAAACCTAAAATGATAATTTTCCAGGTCTGGTGCTAGCCCTAACAAGGCCTCAGGAAGAGGAGTGGAGACTGTTTATACCTAAGCTGGGAGAGAAACTAAAACCCGAACTAGCCCAGCTGTGGCCAAGGGTCTAGGTAAAAAATAACTCCCCCAGAACTTGCAGTAAACTAACCACCGGTAATAGTAGAGATAAGCCAGGAGCAAGGCCAGTGAGATAATAACAGTACCGAGTGCCCCAGGAAGCCCTGGAAAGGATCCAAGTGCACCTTCAGAAACTTGAGCAGTTTGGCATAATCATACATTGCCAGTCTCCCTAGAACACTCCCTTGCTCCCTGTGCAAAAGCCCGACACAAAGAACTATAAACTGGTGCAGGATTTAAGGCTTGTTAATCAGACAACTATATACTCTGCTAAGTCTGTTGCCCACAGATGCCAAGTGGCCCACTTACCTGGACTTAAAAAAAAAAAAAAATTCCTTTTTCAGTATAAAACTGGCTCCGGGAAGCCAGTCTATTTGCTTTCCAGTGGGAAAAACCAAACATGGAAACTGCGATCCAGTACACATGGACCAGATTGCCACAGGGGTTCAAAACACTCACAATTTTTGAAACAGCACTGGTTCGTGACTTCCAGAAATTCCTGGCTGAGAAATTAAAATGTGTGCTGCTCCAGTATGTTAATAACCTCCTTTCAGGGCACCCTAACCAGGAGGGCTGTGCCCGAAACATGGATTGTCTTTTATGATATCTAGAAGTATGTGATTATAAAGTATCCAAACAAAAAGCCCAGATTGGCCAGCAGCAAGTACATTATCTAAGATTTACTATTCAGCAAGAGTAAAAGTATGTTGGCATAAAATAAAAGCAGGTCATTCATTGCCTCCCCACCTCCATGAGCTAAAAAGCAAGTTTGAGAATTCCTTGATGCAGTTGACTTCTGTCATCTTCAGATCCCCAACTTTGCCATCTTGGCTAAACCTCTGTATAAGGCAACTAAAAGAGAGGAAGGAAAACCCTTAGAGTGGGAAAGAGAACAAGAACATGCCTTCTCCCAACTAAAAATAAGGCTAATGACTGCCCCTGCACTGAGACTGCCAGACCTGTCTAAGCCCTTCACTTTGTCCCAGAGAGAAATAAAATGGCTATGAGTGTGTTAACCCAGATGGTCGGATCCTGACCAGGGCCTGTAGCCTACCTCTCTAAGCAGCTGGATAGAGTAACAAAAGGATAACCACCCTGCTTGCGAACTCTAGGCGCTACTGCTCTCCTTGTACAAAAAGCCGATAAGCTAACTCTAGGTAGGATCTCAGAGTGAAAATATACTACTCTGTGGTCACTTTAATAAACACTAAAGGACATTAAGTATCAACAGAAAATACTTCAGTTGCTAGAAGCAGTATAGAAACCCCAGAAGGTGACAGTGATCCACTGTTGTGGGCATCAAAGAGATGCTTCCACCATCACTAAAGGGAACACTAGGGTCAGTACTGAGACAAAAAGCCTGCATCCAAACCATACCGGGAGTTGCGAGTAGCTCCCCTCATCTCCTGGGTTCCAGAGTTTTCACCAGTCTACTCCTGGGAGGAAAAAAAAATAGTTGACAGCAGAGGGGAGCCAGGAAGCAGAGGGAGGATGGATAAAAGTGCCAGATGGACAGGTGACAGTCCCCCAGATTCTAAGAGCCACCGTAGTGACAGGAGTATTTAATGAAGTTGCTAGGCTTCTACATACTTCTACATCTCCCACCTGGCAACCCTGGCCAAAACTGTCAGTTCAACGTGTGCCAAGGACTAACAGTACCCAGAAATCCAGTCATGTGGAGCAACGCCCTTCAAGGACTTGCAGGTAGACTTTACTGAAATATCCAGGTTTAGAGGAAACAAGTACTTGTTGGTAATAGTCTATCAGACTTGAAATAAATAAAAACCTTCCCCGGGTTTGGATACCTTTGAATGTTAAAGTAACTAGGCTGAGGATAAAGGCTTTTGGCTTTTGAAGGACTGAGGTCATGGATCTAGATTAGAGGTTACCCAGATTTTTCTAGAAAGGGCTAGACAGTAAATATTTTGGGCTTGACAGGCCATATGATATTTGTTCCAACTAGTCATCTGCTGTAGAGTGAAAATAGCAGAAGACAATATATAAATGACTACAGATGTGTTCCAATAGAACTTTATATAGTTTCTAGAATAATTGGTGGACAATAGTTTGCCAGCTTCTAATCTAGTTGCCCTCTAGTGCATAACAAAGAATTGTCTATGACTTTCAAAATAACAACCATAGCTGGAAAAAAAGGTGTTTATGATTATCTGGATCTAAAAACTCTCACATAAAGCATTTTTTGCATAATCATTTCAAATTGTTAAATTTATCTATTTTCCTATTTTTGGATGGTTTTACTAATATACGCATCTTCCCGGAACACAACAATGGCTTCAATGAGAAAAAGTTATACTTTATTTAGGAAATTTTCTGACGTATTTTTAATCATTTCAGAAAGTCACAGTATTATTGGCAATACTGATTGCAATATTTGACTTGCCAATAAATAATAAATACTTACAGAAACCTTCATTTGTAGATAATATATTTCTGTTTACTCCGCACATATACATGAACAAAACACACAAGTATAGCCTTTATTTCAAAATGTCAAAAGATGCCAACAACATTTAGTTTAATATGATTGTTTTATAAATGGTTGTAAGCATGCACATTTCATTATTTGTGCCTTGTGTGGTTGTCTATGATCATTAATACATTAATACATACTATATATAGATGTATCATATTACCTATGAGTTTCATTTCTTTTTGTGTATAGAGAGCATTGCGTTTTTGTTTGTTTGTTTGTTTGTTTTTGAGACAGAGTCTCCCTGTGTTACCCTTGGTAGAGTGCCGTGGCATTACAGCTCACAGCAACCTCAAGCTCTTGGGTTTAAGCGATTCTCTTGCCTCAGCCTCCAAAGTAGCTGGGACTACACGTACCCACCACAACACCCAGATAGAGAGCATTGCTTTTGACTAGGAAAGGAATCACTACCTGTATCTATTCCCCTTAGTTTGTGTTTTGGGTTGGGAGGAAAAGAAAGAAGGAAGCAAGCAGCAACTCTAACTTTAACTTAATCATTTGTGGCTATGCAAAAAATCCCTGATCTTAAGGTTCTGTTTTTTCCTCCCCATCTCTACCTTCTCCAGACTGTGCACTTCTCTTAAGATAGGAACCCAGAAGAGGACTGATCATTTCTTGCAGTTCTAAAAATCATGGCTCAGGTGAATTACTGTTTCTTTGTGACGTCTCCAGTTACTTTTTTATATGGTATGTGTGTGTGCATGTATGTTTGTGTTTGTTATTCCTGAAGCTTCCTTCCTCTACTCAGAAATGTGCTGCTTAATTTATCCCGTCCAAGTGACAGTGTCTTCCTTAAGTATATCCACACACTGTTTTGTTTTTCACTTTGTTGCCCTCGGTAGAGTGCTGTGGCATCACAGCTTGCAGCACTCACAGCAACCTCCAACTCTTGGGCTTAGGTGATTCTCTTGCCTCAGCCTCCCAAGTAGCTGGGACTACAGGCACCTGCCACAACACCCAGCTATTTTTTGTTGCAGTTGTCACTGCTGTTTTAGCTGACTGGGGTCAGGTTCAAACCCACCACCCTTGGTATATGGGACTGGCGCCCTAACCACTGAGCCACAGGTGCTGCCCCCACACACTTATTTAACAATCTGTTCAGCATCTTTGGCTATGAACACTGTAATAAAAGCATAAGCCCCTGATGTTTTAAGGTAGAGAAGGATGGTAACACACATAAAAACAGTTTGAACTTCTCTTTAGACGTAAGTTTCCCCATCGACAAGGTAGGAGTTGTCTTAATATGTGGTAAGAGCTTTTATGAGCTTTGAAGATTAGGAACATGATTGGAGACTGCTGAACAGAGAAAGATCAGAGATCTTCCCTGTGAATGCATGATTATGAATACCAATAATATGAATCATTTTGACATGCAGCATTATGTCCTCATTTTGAATGTGTTAAGCTTAGATTTTGTTTTCCACCTTTCTACTGCTTAGAATGAGGAAAACTTACATTTACAAATGATGAATAGCAACAAGAAAGATCATCATTCACCTTCATGAGTTGAGAATCATAACTCTCAGAACTAAGAAATATCTGTGACATTTTTATGTAACCTAAAGTGGCTGAATATGAGCATTAAGTTAAATATGTGTTCATTATACTTCATTATACGGAACTATTCTGTAGCCTATAACTAAATTATTGGTGACAAGGAAAATGCTTATGATATAATGTGGTACTCTGAAATGAGGAATCTAAGCGTTCAATAAATTCTTTAATTTTATACAAATATTATTTTATAAGATTTTACAGAAAATTTTCTCCAATTATTTTTCTTATTCCTTAGAGAAGAGAAACATTTGTTGAGAAAGTATGATAGACAACATGCATACTGTACTGTACAGGATGCTTGGATGTGCTATTTTTTTTAATTGGGGCATTGCATTACTTTATTGTAGACTTATCTGTGTAATGAGATATTCTATATGCAGAAAATATGTATAGCAATAGGAGTGATCAGGAACATGTTGGTAGTTCCCAGACTGTTTGATATGTTGCTTCCTTTGTGGACTATTTCCCATCATGTCCCCCTCCATTGAAAAAAATGTTTTCTTTCCATAATTAATATTGTGTTTGTTGTTTCAGAGATCAGTGATATTCAGGGATGTTGCCATTGACTTCTCCCAGGAAGAGTGGGAATGCCTAGACTCGGCTCAAAGGGATTTATATAGAGATGTCATGTTGGAGAACTATAACAACTTGGTGTCCCTAGGTAAAGTTATCTGCTCTTCATATTCCAGGATCTACCTTTGGCATGGCTACTTTCTCTGCTGTTATTTCAAGGTTGTTTTATAAGTAATTAAATGAATTTCTTCTTCTCAAAGGAATGGTTTGAAATTACTGGAAAGAAATAATATTTTCATAGCATACCTTTATTTTCTCTATCTTTCAGAAAGCCTTAACTCTACCTTAGACTACCTGTCTTCCTGCTATCTTCCTTAATGATCAGGGGATGAAATTTGAATTCTGGGACACTCAGAATATTGTCAGAAAAAACAGGCTATCTAATGTTACACTTTAGATCTGCTAAAGGATCACTAAATAATTCATAGGCCCTGTCACAATTTTTAAAAATAGATGCAGAAATGTATGCTTTTTTTCTGAGTAGAAGAGCTTCTATCATTTGTATAGTGAATACAGTAGATGAGTACATTTCACTAATAACTCAAATGAGCACAATCCATTACATACACCAAACACATTCTCTTATATATGCTTCGTAGTTGATTATTACATATTGAGACTTTTACATGAAATGAATATGCTAGAATCATGTTTTATTTGAAAATAGCTGAGAATGAACCTCTGATGGTCTAAGAAATTTTTTTTTTTTTTCCTGTAGTATTTTCACAAGGGATGGAGTCTGTATCAGTTAAAACTTTAATGAGTGATTTTTCTGGTAGATGATCACTTTATTCCTTGTATGCCTCACATCTGGAATATACCTGTCTCTGGACTCTTGTTTTTTTCTGAAAGCTTTAGGAAGTCACTGTTTGACATGCTCCCCGGCAGGACCCAAACCATATGGGGAAAAGGACTAGGACTTGAGAAAGAAAGCAAGAACCTTTCAACATGGTCTCCCTAAGGAACCCACTTAATCCCTGCTTCTTCCTTTCCCTGTTAGTCTTTTATTGTAAATTCTTCTCACTTTCAGAGGAGGATATGGCTTTTCCTTTTCCCCAGTGACAATGCTTTTATGTAAACTCAGGATTCAATTCCTTTCCAGATTGTTTTGCTTTCTTAGACTTATGTCATTGTCTCCATTCTCTAAAATATGTTCAAAATGTGTTATCGAGGGTCTTTTCTCTGCCAATAATGGTAGTAAGTAAACATTGGGAAATAATACTCTTTTAGATAATGTTCCTAATGTACCAAAATATAAATTCTTATGGGATAAATACAAAATAAGGAAACAAAAACATATGCATGTTTGTGCACATGTGTGTACATATATACACATTTAATAAATATAATAGGCTGTGATAACCACTATGAATAAAGGCAAAGAGGGGTAGGCAAAGAATTGGGAGTGGGAGTGGGCTATTTGAGACTGGTAGATTATAGAAAAAGCCTGTCTGAAAAGGTAATAGTTGAACAAAGATTTGACTGAAGTAAGGACATGAGTCAGGCCAATGTCTAGGGTTAAGTATGGAGTATTACATGTAATAGACATTGGGGCAGTCATTAACTTTCTAGGAGGAACAGACAGGCATTGTGTCTAAAGAAAAGTGAATTGTAGACTAAGAAGACAGAGACTAGCAAAAAGGACTTGTAATTTTATTCTCTAAGGTGGTACCCTCTGACCCTTGTCTGAAGCAAATGATCTTTCTCCAGAAGAAGGTAGGAGGCCTTTAGAATTCTCAGAAATTAAGATCAACAAAAGGTGAGCTCACAAAGATCATCAAACTAACAAGAAAATAGGTCACAGCTGAGTGACAGATAGTCTGAAGAAGCACCATATTACGTGGCAAAAGTCTTCACATATTGGGATGATTGGATGTATATGTAAACTATTGGTGAAATGTTTAAAGAATAAAGAAAGCACAAAAACTAGTAGTAGATTTTCATAAAGGAAGAGATTTGAAAGAGAACCAAGTAGATTATTTCTATAGGTTCTATTCTTTTTGAAAATAATCATTAAAAGATTGATAAATTTGGCTGCATGAAAATTATTCTTTTGTCCGGGTCCCACCCCAAGAGCAGCATCCGTTGAGACCTGTGAAAACTGGTGGTGATTGAAGAAATGTACAGTTAGAAGCAACAGTAAAGAAAGACAAGAGACATAGAGTAGAATTAAAAGCTGGAGTCGGGGTCCATTGCCCATCATGGGATTCCAGCAATGGCACTGAGTGTTTGCTCCACTTTGCTTTTATTGGAGTCTATTTGCCCAGGGGGAAAGATGAGGGAGGGAACAGAGACGGCAGCAGTTTCTCCGATAGATCATATCAACTCAGTAATCTCAGCCTTGGATTGGGAGAGCCTCTTGCTTGAGGTCACACACACAGATTTCTGGGGAGGTGTTAAGTTCCACTAGTTCTCTGTGGAGTAAAACACCATCAGCCTTACTCTCCTCTGAGGGATCAGTGGGAGGGAGACATTTTCCTCCCATCATCACCACAGAAGATTTTCTTCTGCTATAAGGGATATAAGCTCTTCTGCCCATATCTCGGAGCTGGAGCTACTCCCTTGGTCTCTACCCCAGGCAAATGCACATCTCCACAGTGGGTATCTGCTTTGCCTGTTAGGGGGCAGGAAATGCCCTAGAAGATGTTTCTTTTTCTAGGACTTGTCATAGACTTTTCTATGGCTATTACTCTTCTCAGAGTACTCAAAGACCCAGCAGGGTATTTATAAGCTGTATCCCCAACAGGCTAGAATTTCAGAAAAGGCAAGAATCTTGCTAGCAATGGCTAGCTTAAACGTAAACTAGCTGACTTTTCATTGTTCCGACTCAGCTTACTCTTTAGTTTTCCTCTTTTTCTGGGGTTGCTTTTCCTTTCCCAAGAATGGGGTTTCTAGTCCCCATTCTCCGAGCAACTTCATTGAAAGACATCAGAAAGACAATAAAAGACAACCATGAATTGAGTGATGATACTTGCAGTGCACATAGACAACAATGGAATTAGTGTTTCAAACATAAAAACCGGGGTGGTGCCTATGGCTCAAAGGAGCAGGGTACCGGCCCTATATGTCAGAGGTGGTAGGTTCAAACCCAGCCTCGGTCAAAAACTGCAATAAATAAATAAATAAAAATTTAAAAAAGACATAAAAACCTACAGATTGATGTGAAAAAAGTAAATAACGATATTGAAAAGTTTGGTAAAAGATACCTGAATAGGCTCAGCGCCTGTGGCTCAAATGGCTAAGGTGCCAGCCACATACACCTAAGGTGGCAGGTTCCAATCCAGCCCGGGCCCGCCAAAACAACAATGACGGCTGCAACTAAAAAATAGCCAGGCGTTGTGGCAGGCGCCTGGGTTCCTAGCTGCTTGGGAGTCTAAGGCAGGAGACTTGCTTGAGCCCAGGAGTTGGAGGTTGCTGTGAGCTGTGATGCCATGGCACTCTACTCTGGGGGATAGATTGAGGTTCTGTCTCAAAAAAAATAAAAATAAATAAATGAAAAAGATATCTGAATAGGCAGTTCAAAGAAAAGGAAATGCAAATTAAAACCACAGTAATGAGATTATTTCACATGCTTGTAGACTGGCAAAATTTAAGAAGTTTGACGGTACTAACCATTCCCAACACTTGGAGGCTGAAGTGCTCTATAGTTTGCTGTGCACAGTAGCCAAAATGGTAATAGCAGAAACTTCAATCATCTGATGAATGGATTAATAAATGTTGAATATTCTTTTTTTTTTTGAGCAAATACAGTGTTTTTTGTTATAAAAACAATATGGCAACATTAAATGTTAATAAATAGAAGACAAAGTTGCTAAATCTCACAATCTTAAAACAATTGTTTTCCATGTCTGCATTGGCTTTAAGTCATTTTCCCTATGTAGACACCATGTTACGTGGCTTTAATCAAACATAAATATAATTTCATGTTTTTTTAACATAAAAATATTTTTCCATGTTTCTTAACAGCCTTCATAATAAAAATTCTGAATTAGCTGAATAATATTCCAATAGATGTAGAACAACTGGATTGATTTTTCTATTGCACAGTTAGGGTTAGGGTTAGAACTCTCGCCATTATAAATAATGTAGAAATGAACATATCTGGTCTTTATTCCTCCAAGAGTCATATATTCCAAAAATAAGATTACTGGGTTGATGGAGTACACATATTTTTGAGGTTTCTGCTAACCTGTGCCAAACTGTCTATCAGCTTATGTGTATCTTTAATAGCAAAACACAAAAATATTTTTTTGTGAATTAAATGGGTGAGAAAATATATTCCTTTTTAGATTTAGTTTGCATTTTTGCTTAGCAACAGGTGAGCTTTCCCTACATATTTATAAATAAATTTACTTCTCCTGAGACGTGCTTGTTCATGTCATGTGTTCACTCATCAACCTCCAGACTCTAATCGTGACTGCGTCTTACACTGGGCTTATAACAAGCCATGTGTTGTAACGAACTGCATAACAACAGGGTCATTAAGATTGTAACGGAGCTGAAAAATTCCTAGAGATGTCACAGCACGTGTTACTCGTGTGTCTGTGGTGACGCTGGTGTAAACAGACCTACTGCACTGCCTATCTTATAGAAGTCTAGTGCACACAAGTAAGTACAGTATGTAACACTTGATAATGACAATAAATAACCACGTTGTGAACTTATGTATTTACTAGACTATGCCTTTATCATTATTCTAGAGTGCATTCCTTCTACTCATTAAAAAAGTTAACCGAAGGATAGCCCCAGGCAGGTCCACCAGGTGGTGTCCCAGAACCAGGCACTGTTACCCCAGGAGAGGACAGCTCCAGGCCTGTTACTACCCCTGAAGATCCTCCCACGTTGTCCGAGGCTAATGTGTTTTTGTCTTAGTTATTAACAACATGTTTAAAAAGTAAACCAAAAGAAAGTTTAAACAGTAGAAAGCTTATAGAATAAGGAGATGAAGAAAGAAAATATTTTTGTACAGCTGTGCATTGTGTTTGCACTTTAAGTGAAGTGTTATTACAAAGGCATCAAAAAGTCAAAAGAAAAAGTTTATAAACTAAAAAAGTTACAGTAAGCCGAGGTCAATGTGTTAACCATAAA